AACCCAGGGCCTCTCACATGCAAGGCAAGCACTCTATCGCTGAGCCACAACCCCAGCCCCCTCCATTGGCCTTTACTGGGTAGCATCAGGAATATGAAATGGCCTGTAGTACAATTGTATAGCCCTGTTTTCCTAAGTATTATGATAAGCACAATACTAATATCACCCAGGTTAAAAAAAGTGCTATTCTATTTGTAGGGAGGTTTCATTGAAGATTCAATTAATATTTGAATATGCACTTTTTGTATGATCCTAGGTGCACGAAAATGTTGTCAGAAAATAATTTTATTATCCTAGTAAAATGTGGCTTTCAGAATGTTCAGGTATTCCAAACATAACTCAAGCAGAATTTTGGTTTTGCCTACCAAAATTTTAAATATTGGATCTTGGTTTTTAATCATATTTAAGAACTATAAAATCTTAAGAGAAATTGAGTTTCAGCAGTAACAGTGGCCCAGTTCACCTTTTGAATATTACCCTTGCTGCTTATGGACAAGTTTTTCTTTTCCTCTTCTCTCTCTCCCTTTCCCTAACCTGGGATCAGGGAATAAGATTACCTTGAGTTATCTGTTTTCTATAGGAAGGAGATGTAACCTGAAGATCTAGGAAGTGACTATCTCCCAAATTAAAAAGTGAATTTCAACATACCATAAGAGCACACCTGGAATGTAGCCTTTGAAGAGCTTCTTTAAAAGCCCTTTCTTTTCCCTGTTGGTCAGAACCAGAGCCTCTGGGACAAGAATCCCCTGTGCTTCTCCTTTGCTAGCAAAGTATTAAGCCTTCTTTTTCTCAAAACCTTTTCCTCATTGGATTGGCATCAGGGACAAGGACTTTCAGTAACAATACCATCTCCTCCTGCTTCTCCTCTTTTCTTCCTTTTTCTTATGATTTTTTTCTCCAAAAAGTTATATTGTTTATGATAAATTAATCACTGGATTTTCTTTTCTAGGAGAATATCGACCAGCAAAGTGACAGTTCTGGGTTATGGTCTTTTAACCACAGATGCATTGACTTTGATAGATGCACTGAATAATCAGAACTTTAAAGTAGTTATAGTGGATGAATCACACTACATGAAGTCCAGAACAGCAACCCGCACCAAGATTTTATTGCCAGTGGTACAGAAATCAAGACGAGCCATTCTTCTTACAGGAACTCCAGCTTTGGGAAGGCCTGAAGAGGTATTGAAATATTTATTCGCTGGGCTTTTTTTTAAAAAAAAAAAAAAAAAAGGAAATTAAATCAGTCATCTGTTTTGCATTTTTCATTAAAAATTCGATGCATCAGATGTCAAAGATTACATTGGGATTTTCTAGGCAGCTATTAATCATTAAATATATCTTTTATTATGGCTGTTTTATCTGTTTACATGTAAACCTTAGCCATGCTTGTGTATTAAAAAAATAGTGTATGTGTGTTTGTTTGTTTTTGAAACTGGGATTGAGCCAAGGGGCACTTAACCACTGAACCCCAGCCCTACCCCTTTTAATTTTTTATTTTTGAGATAGGGTCTTACTAAATTACTTAGGGCCTCACTAAGTTGCTGAGGCTGGCTTTGAACTTCTGATCCTCCTACCGAGCTGCTGGGATTATAAGGCGTGTGCCACTGCACACTGCTTTAAAAAATAGTTTTAACCTTTATTTTAAGGTTTCCATATTTAATACAGATTTGTAATATTCCTCACACAAGTACATAAGTGCCTTAGGGTTAGGTTTGAATCTATTTCATTTCTTTTATGACTACATTGCAGAATTTGTCTCTGTTCCTTTTGTACTTTAAGATCCACATTTGGGAAGGTAGCAACTAGAGCTTGTCTGTAGACCAATAGGCTGTCCACTTAAATGGAGGAGTAAGGCATCTGTTTGATACCCCATTTAATTTTACCACTCTAAGAGGCAGATGGCGTTTGGAGTGGTTACAGGTTTAGGAAGAAGAAATAGTGGATGCAATTTTCATCATTCTTTAAAGGTCAATGTTCCCTAAGGAAGCCCTGTCTTCTAATGAACACTGAGCCACAGAATAAACATGGCTTGTTGTCTCATAGGGTTGCTAGGATAATTAAAGGAGTTATTGTTTTGAACATACCGTAGCCATTTACCCGGGTAGATTATAAGCACTTAACATATGGTAGCTATTATTCATTATTATGCCAAACCTGGGTGACAGCTATTATCATTGTATCTCTAGTATGACCTAGGCTCTACTTTTAAGTTCTCTCCCTGGAAGTCTTCTGGGATACATATAATGCTAAATACATAGTGCGGAGAAAATATTTAATTTACTCTTAGAAGTGGCAAGAGTGGCAGTGGGAAAGTAAACTCCTAGTAACTTACTTATGTTATGTTCCAAAATTATGTCATTGAATAAATAGTAGGAATGAAACAAGGTACAGTGGCATATACCTGTAACCCAACAACTTGGGAGGCTGAGGAAAGAGGATCATGAGTTTGAAGCCAGCCCAGATAATTTAGTGAGACTCTGTCTCACAATAAAAATTAAGAGATGTTGAGGACAGTAGAATCAATTCAGGGATAGAACACTCTTAGTTTCAATCCCCAGTAACACAAAATAATAATAATGATAATCGTAATCATAATGGTGATTATACCTTTAAAAAATCATGAAATGTATTAGTACAAGAAAAAGAATATGTAACAAACATCTATTTAAAATAACAAAAATATAATGAATACCATCTACTTATTATCTAGCATGAGAAATAGAACATTGACAATATAACAGTGCCCCTGTGTCCCACTGTGGTCATGTGTCCATAGTTTCACCCTTTACCCAATGTAGCCACTGTTAAAGCAAGGGTGATAAATGTAAAGTTTGTTTTCAGGACTCTTTAAGAAAAATAATATTGTCCAGGCATGGTGGTGCATGCCTGTAATCCCAGTGGCTTGGGAGGTGGAGACTGAAGGATTGCTAGTTCAAAGCCAACCTCAGCAATTAAGTGAGGTGCTAAAGAACTCAATGAGACCCTGTCTCTAAATAAAATACAAAAATTAGGCTGGGGATGTGGCTCAGTGGTTGAGTGCTCCTGAGTTCAATCCCCAGTACCAAAAAAGGAAAAGAAAAAGAATATAGATGACAGGTAACATACATGTGTCAAGGGACTGTGGCAAAATGGAGGAACTATGTTCTTCTGAGGGAGACAATCACTTTTTTCCAAGGAGTGGATGCCATAAGGAGGGGGGAAAAAAAGGAATATAAGATTTCAAATGATAAGTTAGGGATTTTGATATGGGGAAGTGTGAATCCTCCAATTTTGTTATTCTTTTTTTTTTAATGTTTTAATTGTAGATGGATACAATACCTTTATTTATTTGTCTTTAGGTGGTGCTGAGGATTGAACCCAGTGGCTCACACATGCTAGGCAAGTGTTCCACCACTGAGCCACAACCCCAGCCCTTGTTATTCTTTTTCAAGATTATTTTGGATATTCTGGGTCCCTAGAATTTTCGTATAAATTTTGGTTTTTTATCAGGTTTGTCAGTTTTTGCAAAAAATTCAGCTTTAATTGTTACAAGTACCATGTTGAATGTATTGATTGTTTTGGAGAGTATTTCCATCTTAACTATATTTAGTCTTCAAATCTATGAGCATGAGATATATTTCTATTTATTTGTAAGTCTTATTTATTTTTCCCCAATAGTACTTTGTAATTTTCACATCTTATGATGCTTCTGTTAAATTTAATCCTATTTTATTTTTTTTATTTCACTATAAATGAAATTTTTCTCAATTTCATTTTTGATTGTTTATTGTGGTATAGAGATAACAATTTAATTTTGTGGATTTATCATATACCTTGCAAACTTGCTGAACTTATTTATTAGTTTAATATCATTTAGGGTTTTCTATATAAAATCATGTCACCTATTGAGAGTGATAGTTTTACTTCTTTCTTTCCAATCTCAATGATTCAGCCTTTTACTATAAATATAATGGTATTTGAGTTTTTCCAAGATTTTCTTCAAGTTGAGGGAGTTCCTTTCTAATCCTTTTTTACTGAGTATTTAATTCTGAAGGGATGATGAATTTTATCTAGTACTTTTTTGTATCTATTGATATATCATGCAATTTTTATCTTTTTGTTTCTTTGGAGGTTGAGAAAAATAGTTCAAAAGATAGTGGTGATTAATGCACAACTTTGTGAATATACTAAAAGCCATTGAATTGTGTACTAACCAAGTATGAACTTTACATTTATGAGTTATATCTCAATAACACTATTTTAAAATAACAATATAAACTACTATGTATAGCCTATCAGAGTTGAAAAATGAAAAAAAAAGTGACATTATTAATGTGAGGATAAATTGGGATAGTCTTCATGGGCCAACAGGGTAACATCAATCAAGTTTTTTTTTTTAAATATTTATTTTTTAGTTGTAGTTGGACACAATACCTTTATTTTTATGTGGTGCTGAGGTTCAAACCCAGAGCCTCGCACATGCTAGGCGAGTGCTCTACCACTGAGTTGCAATCCAGCCCAATATCCATCAAGTTTTAAGACTGTTTTTTAATAATCATCAAGAATACAAATAATAAAGCTGGTGAGGATGCAAGGGGAAGAGGAACACTTACAGAATTATGTGGGATTGTAAATTAGCATATTTGTTATGGAAATCAGTATGGAGATTTCTCAAAAGACAAGGAATGGAACCACCATGTTACCCAGCTATTCCACTCCTCAGTATTTCTCCAAAAGAACTAGTCAGCATACTATACTAATGCATGCATACCCATGTTTATAGCAGCACAATTCATAATAGCCAAGTTATGGAACAAGCCTAGGAGTTGTAAACAGATGAAGGGATAAAGAAAATGTGGTATACATACACGATGTAGTTTTACATAGCCATAAATAAAAACTAAAGTCATTTCCAGAAAAATGGAAGGAACTGGAGAGCTTCATGTTAAGTAAAATAAACAAGACTCAGACAGTCAAAGATTATTTGTTTTCTCTCATATTATGTGGAAGACAGAGGGGGCAAAAAGGACGAAAGAAAAGGATTTTCATGAACAAAGAAGGGGGACCAATGAAATAGAGGATGAGAATCAGGGGGAGAGAGGAGAGGAAGAAAGGGAGATGTAATGGACACTGAATATGACCAAATTATATTATGTGTGTGTGTCTGTATAAAATACTTAATGAATTCTACTATTTTGTAAAATCATAAGGCAGCAAAGTAAGTAAATAAATTTATTAAAAATTAAAATTGGAAAGTGAAAAACATGGCTTAATTTCAACTTTTCCACTTCTAAAAACATATTCCACAAAACTCATCCAATAAAAATAAAGGTAGGCCAGGTATGGTGGCGTATGTCTGTAGTCCCAGAGACTGGGGAGGCTGAGACAGGAGGATTACAAGTTCAAAGCCCACTTCAGCAAGTTTTAGTGAAGCCCTAAGCAACTTAGCAAGACTCTATCTCTAAGTAAAATATAAAAATGGCCTGGAGTTGTGGCTCAATGATTAAGTTCCCCTGGGTTCAATCCCTGGGACCAAAATACACATACAAATTAATAAATAAATGTAGATGGATAACAGATAGATAGTTGATACATATAAATCCACAGAATTTTATGATGTTATTAATTTTTGTAATTACATAAAAACTAGAAATAGCTTTTACATTCAATATCAGGAATCTGTTTAAATATTAACAATATGTATACTTAATAATGAGTGGCTATTTAAACTCTAAATAGTACTTTATTATCATATTGCATTGGTTATATAATTTTTCAAACCAAATAAAAATGTGTATGTACTTTACATGTTTAGGGGACATAAAGATATATTTGGGGGACAAAATTTTATTTGAGTAACAATATGTATAATATGATCCTCTTGTAATAAAAGAGAATATATATATATATGTGTATATATATATATATGCCATGTAGTTATGAAAAAATGTATAAGTTTTTTATGTTTAAGAAACACATAACTGTTGCTCCTGAAAAATGGATGGGTGGGTGGAAAGAAAGAAGAGGCACTGAAGAAGTAGATTTTATTTTATACATTGTAATATTTTATTAACTTATTTTATCACCATAATAATATTTCAACTTATTGAGTATATTGTATTGTTACAGCTTTTCATGCAGATTGAAGCTCTTTTTCCACAAAAATTTGGAACATGGACTGACTATGCCAAAAGATACTGTAATGCACGTATCAGGTATGACGTTATTTTCATGAGTTTTTATCCTTCACGTTTCCTATGAACGTTAAGCTTCATTAATCATTCTTTGTTCCAGTGTTTTCCAAACTTGTGGTACTTATGGAATAATTCCTTCAAGTAAAAGCTTGTGTGGATGAACTATATCTAAAATAAATAGATAATGGCAAAGTGGTTTTTTAAAAATTTTTGCTTTATATACTTTTTTAACTTTGTAATTATTTTTATTGACTAGATCTACATGCATATATATAAAAGTAAAAAATGAGTGCTTCTTCCTCCGTGGTCTCCCAGCCATGTAATAAGTTCCCCCTTTTTTAAAATATAGTTTTTAAATATTTAAATATTTTTGTCAATGGACCTTTGTTTTATTTATTTGTTTGTTTGTTTGTTTGTTTATATGTGGTGCTGAGAATTGAACCCAGTGCCTCACACATGCTAGACAGGTACCCTACCCCTAAGCCACAACCCCAACCCTAATTCCCTTTCCACATAACTGATGTTGATAGTTTTTGCATCCCTCTGGAGATAGTCAATGCCTGAGCAAGCATTTATTTTGCATGTATAATATATATAATATTGCTCCATGTATGTACATTATATATACGTATATATTATTATTTTGCTGTTTGCTTTCTTTACTATATATATTGGCAGTCCTTCCATTTCGGTTCCTGAAAGAGCTTTGACGTTTTGACATTCATTTAAAATGCTATGTGTTTTCTACTGTTTGGAATTTACTTATACAGGTCACTCTTAATAGGCATTTGTTTGTCATACATAGCCAATGCAATTATAAATATCACTGTTCACATTGAGAAGTAGCATATTATAGTTATTCAAGAATATGGAAATCCAGACCTAGGCCACCTATATTTTATTTTCACACCTTGTTTTATTTAAGGAAAGTAACTTTATCTCCTCATACCTAATTTCTTAAGCTCTAAAAACAGAATGATTAGGCCTGCCTCAGAATTATTAGACTTATATTTGCTTATACTTATAAAGGGCTTGATTTTGATTGTACATAGTGAGCACTCAATAATTATTATTTTAATATTTCACTTCAAATACATGTGAATAAATCTAAGAGAAGTTTATGAAAATGAAATTGCTGGTTCAAAGGGCATAAATATTGGAGATTTTCCCAAATTATTCTTCACAGAAGTTAATCATGGAAGTTATGTGTATAAGGTTTTCTCTTTTCCTATACCTTATCAACAAGGGGAAATAGAACTTATTTGATTCTTGCCAACCTGATCTGATAATAATTTTAACGTACATTTGTCTTATTATGTTATTAAATGCAATTGAGCATTTTTTATACATATATAAGTCATTTATATTTTTTCTGTTAATATATGTTCTTTGCCTTTCTGCTTATTAAATGCATTGGCTTTTTTCTTATTATTATGTTGGAATTCTTTACATATTATATAAAACATCTCCTTGTATGTGATATGAGTCTTTCATGTATTTTCTCAGTATGTATTTGTTTTTCTTTTTTCCTTTCTATAGTTCCTTCACATACTCCTAGATGGTCATGGTATTCTTATGCTTTTTAAAGATCTGTAAATTGTGAAGATTCCTTCCCAGATTGTTTATATGAGGGCAGTCTAATATTGATACCAACATCAGATAAGATAGTACAGAAAAAAAACAGGGATTATTTCTACTTATGATTATAAATGCAGAAGTCTTCAATATTATAGACTTGGAGAATCTAAGATCTCATTAGAAGGCCTATTATGTTGATTATATATAAATGAAGAGTTTTTATATCAGGAATATAAGCATAGTTTGTTTATTTATTTATATTATATTCATTTTATTTATTTTTCAGTCAGGGTCTTGCTGTGTTCCCTAATGTGGGCCATGAACTCCTGGGCAGTAGCATTCCCCTGCCTCAACCTCCCCATTTGCCCAAAATTTAAAAGCCCATATCCTGCACTTCTTCAGTGCTACATAACTGTCATGGTTATGGTTTTCTGTGTTGTATTATTCACACATACATGTATATATAGGCATACAAAAACATAGGTATATATACACACATATGCACATGTATGCATAATTAAAATTGCATAACTAGTAAATAATAAATTAATGACAATGATCAGGTTGTAGAGGATGTCGTAAAATTACGATTTTTATACTATAAAATGGAAAAGAATGCAGTTTTTGAAAATAGTGATGCAAGTCTATATATATTGATAACAAAGAATTTATAAGACATATTATTAAAAGAAAAGGGAATATCAGAAAAACTTTTATTTTTGAAGAGTGTACACACATACACACACACACACACAGAGATTTTTTTCTGGATGTCACTCTTGTGGCCTCTGTCCTAGCTGACAGCCTCTGATGCTTTTCTGTAGATGCCATAGTGCCCTATGGAGTCCCTTTACATGTGGTTAGTTCAACTATTCAACCTTAGTGTGAGTACTGAGCTACCTAGAGATTTATAACAGGGACCAGTATGTGATCAGTGTGGTAGGGAATATATCCTACCTTGGCTCTTCCATGGAGTGAGTTAACAACTAGAAGCTCCATGAGGACAGAACACTTTTCTTTTCCAGTGTCATAGTCCCATTGTATAACATCGAATCTGGCGCATGACATTTAGTCTTTATTGAATCCTTGAATACTAAATCTTTTGTTGTTATTTTGTTTCCATGGAACTTCTGGACATGTATAATGTTATTTGTCTGCTAAATTCCTAGATGATCTGAGCTGATGGAATTGTTTAGAAAATTGATGAAGTGTTGAAAAAAAATAAGAAACACATTTTTCTAGGAGAAGCATTTCTTTCCTTCCTTCCTTCCTTCCTTCCTTCCTTCCTTCCTTCCTTCCTTCCCTTCTCTCCCTTCTTTCCCTTCCTTCCCTTATCTTACCTTCCCCCCTCCCGCCCTCCTTTCTTCCTTCCTTCCTTCCTTCCCTCCTTCCTTCTTTCCTTTTTCTTTCTTTCTCTACAGATTTTTTTTTCTTTTTTTTGGAAAACAAATACACATTCAAGGGAGAATGAAGACTATCTCAAGTGAAAGACATCTTTGGGAGTAAAGCAAGAAATGTGCATTTAAGGGAGAATATAGGCCATCTGGAGAGGGAGCAACTTTTGGGGTAAAGCAAGAAATTCATATTCAAAGGAGAATGTAGGTCATCTTCAGAGGGAGAGACAGCCACAGAAATATTTCTCACAATGTAGATATGGAGGTCCCTGAATAAACAGGGGTGGACTAAGTGATTTGGATAATCTTTCCCAGTCCCAAATCTGACTTTCTTCATATTGATTTTAAATAATGAGTAAAACACCAGTTCTTTCTTTAATCAGTGAATTACTAAAACGAGTTCTTATATAGGTTACACCAACATTTTATTATTTCTGTGCAAACAAATAGAAAAACTAGTACCATTTGACTAATTTTTGTTAAGAATTCTAAATTGATTTTGTTTATAACTTGAAGTGAATGGTTATATATTGGCACAAAGGGCTTAATTATTATACTACAGCCTTAATTCATATACTAAAGTGAGTTTTGATTAAACTATGTGTCCTTTTGGATGCTAGTTTGAACAAAGAAATAAATCTTTAGTCTTTAACAAGTTTTTTGGGGGGAATTGGGGGGGTACTGGGTATTGAACATGGGCAGTCAACCATTGAGCCACATCCCCAGCCCTATTTTGTATTTTATTTAGAGACAGGGTCTCACTTTTGCTGAGACTGACTTTGAACTCTTGATCCTCCTGTCTCAGCCTTCTGAACCACTGGGATTGCAGACATGTGCCACCGTGCCCACCTTAATAAGTTATTTTTTTCCATTTTTTTTAGTTGTAAATGAACACAATGCCTTTATTTTTATTTATTTATTTATTTTTATGTGGTGCTAAAGATTGAACCCAGTGCCTCAAATATACCAGACAAGTGCTCTACCACTGAGCCCCAACCCCAGCCCCAGCCCCAAGATATTTTTTAAACAGTACATATAAATGAAAATGAATGATGTTTTGCTGACTTGTAGATTGATTCTACAAATTAATGTTTCTTCTACTTAAAAATCAACAGTAACATCTATTTTGAATATTGTTAGTGTTCTACTATCACATAATCTTGATTTAGTTTAGATATATATACATATCTACTCAGGTATTTACTCAGAGGAAATTTGCCCTGTATACAATTTTGCTGATGGATTCTGGTTATCTTAGTTATGATTCTTGCCTATAGACAAGAAAAGTTCAAGAAGCTGAGGCAGGAGGAGCATGAGTTCAAGGCCAGCCTTGATAACTTACTGAGACCTTTTCTCAAAATAAAATGAAAAGGGGTTGGGGTTGTGGCTCAAAGGTAGAGCATTTGCCTAGCATGGGACACTGGGTTCGATCCTCAGCACCACATAAAAATAAAATAAAGATATTGTGTCCACCTATAACTAAATAATAAATATTTTAAAAATAAATAAATAAAATGAAAAGGTCTAGGGATGTAGCTCAGTGGTAAAGAGCCCCAGGGTTCAATCCCCAGCTAAAAAAAAAAGAAAAAAAAGAAAAGAAAAAAGAAAATTGCCTATGTAAAACAAACCTACTAGATTTGCTTTAAGAGAACTAGAAAAACCTAAGTGTTCAACAAGCATATCTTTCTGTTGTTTTGTTTAGGACTTGACAATGAAAATGTATACTTGTCCTTTTTTTAATTAATGCAAACACTGTTTCAAAGAAAGTTTCATCTTTATGAAGTGCTGAATGATTGTATAGATTGTGTTCTATTTTTCTGTTTTCTAGAGAAAGCCATTTTAAGATTAATATCATGCTTCTCAAAAGTGATTTTCTTCCAGGTTCCATCAAAAGTTTTGCTTTTCCATTACTTCTTTACCTTGAAAGCTCTGTAGTTTCATAGACTCATACTCAGATCAAGGCATTTCCTGGCATTTTAAATTAATCTGTGCCATGCTATATTTTTTCTGTAATGTTTTGATTCTGTGAAGGTGTCATTTTCACACTAT